ATGTACAATATTAACAAATACGAGGAATGTCATAATGCTCGCTCGCGTGCATATGCTAGTTCCAAGAGTGTAGAATCCGCGATCCACTCTGCGCCATGTAGACGCGCTGCATAACGCGCTACATGCGAATCCGCGTTTCTCTCTTTCTCGTTCCGCCTGTCCCGTTTCCATGTATCCGATAAAGCACAATATAGTCGACCGTTGTCACCTCCTGTGCTTCCATTCGCGTTACACGCGGGTTACGAGGATGTTCGTTGTCGTCCCGCGAAACTTGGACCATTCTTCACGCGATGGCTTCCTTTCGCTCGACGTAAATGCGAACAGCCTTAGTAGGTCTCGTTTAACGCGATACTATCGATACGTATTAACGACCATTTATATGAGGACGATGGTGTATACTTAAGGTTTGCATAAATTACGTGCATTCGTATCGATACCCGTTTCATTTTTATTTATTGAACAGGTCTTTTATTTTACTTACTTCGATACACTGCGTAAAACATCGCATCGGGTCAAATTTATTTATTATTATTTGTTGTACACCTAACTCTTGATGTTTACGGTACTGTTCTTAAGAAAACGTCGTATTTATAAAAATAAAAATTGCAGAAGCTGTACAAGTTTATATTATACATTTATTCAGTCATTTTTTAGTAATATTATTGACACTGACATTAAACTTATAAAAGTGTCTTAAAAACAAAAAAAAAAAAACTCAAAGTATTCATATTAATTGAGGCAGTAAATGTTTAATAGATTTAGGCGTAGTTCCTTGAAAAGAAACACGAAAATTCGTAACAATTAATTAAAATGAAATATAAAAATATAAATACTTTTAAAATAAAAAAATGATCATCATTCCCTTATACATGGTCGATAATACTCTCTTTTTATCTTCACATTTTCACCCCTTAAAAATGTACCACCCCCATCCCTTCTTGTTCGCATCCTTCCCCAAATTCTTTTCATGCAGCATAGCCGGTTCTATATACACAATAAATGTCTTTCTGCTTGAATTTGTTAACGCTGTTTAAAATATTTTTTGTAAGCGATAAGGTTTGTAAAATATACGGGGTAAAAACTGTAGCATTTTGTGATTTCTTCTTTTTGGGTAAACAATTAGTAGCGAATGTAGAATAAAGCGGCGCGATGATGTTGGATTATCATTAAAATACGGGGAACGGTGTAAAAATGTTTGCCACCTATGGAGGTTCTAGTTACTTCAAGGTATTCTCCTCCTGTATTTATTTTTTTGCTTACAAGCGCTCGGGGACCGGAAGTTCTCCCGAGTGAACTTGGAAAGCACCGGTAGCATGTTGCCATATCTCTCCTCTCTGCACTCTCTAACGAAAGTAGACAAGTAGTGATGTTGGTAAACAGATCCTTGCGAAAAGGACATCTTTTGTAAATATTTTCTTTCAATTTCCTTTCGAAAAAGGAGTTCTTACTTAGATGCGCTCCCGTCCAGCCCCGTTGTAGTCTCCCTCATGCAATCCTTCTGTATATAAATCCCGTTAGATCACACGTATTAACCTTTCCTTTAGTCGTCGATAGTCGTAAAATATCTCAAGTGTCGCTGCAAGATCCGAACGAATCATTGAATGACAAATTTGCTATTAAATGCGTTATTTTTTAATGGTGGTGTTACGTTATTATTGGGCTGTGGATGTTCATGCACATTTACATTTTTATAGATGCAGAAAAAGAATTGATACTTGAATGAAAGTATGCCTTACATACTATACACACAAGAACATTAATAATGTCATTGTATATTCTAATAATAATAGCCATAAATATTTCTCAGATGTTGGTGAATTTTTCTAAACATTTTTATTATATGACAGATTTACCTATAATTTCGTTTGCTATAATTGCGTAACCCACAGTCCAATTATTACGTTCAATGCAGTTGATTGATTTTTCTGGAAGTTTGAAGAATGATAGTAATACCTGAAACTTTATAAGAAATCGTGTCAGCGATTACATAGAATGCTATTCAATTCTTACTTCGATATTATTATTATTATTAATGTTCAACTAAAAAATATTGGTGAACTCAATTACAATAATCAGCACGTCTATTTTACCGAATAATGTAAATCGTGACTCGCTGTTATTTATTAATGCTAAACGTCATTCTAAAGTAAACCCTGCGGTGCACTTAAACTGCACTAATCACGGAGTTCCTTGATAATTTTCAACCAGGGAGTAGGAACTAATCTTGCACCGACATTTCGATTGTACTCACGGCTGTAGCTATTATTATTCTTACTTCTGCACGCCCTTTCGATTTAATATTTCTAGTTCCTTTGCTGTCGTGGATCTTCTCTCTTGAAAAAAGAAAAGAATCGCGAGAGCAAAGGAACGCAATCAACTCGGTACACGACCGAGTTAACTGTTATAGCCTCGATTATAATGGGATATTTACCTGCCAGTCCACAGCTTACGAAACTCTGTATATATCTTAGCAATTTTATATATGTGTATAGTTCTGCTCATAAGTATGTGGACATTTCAATTAGAATAATTGAATCCAAAAAATATTAAAATCCATTAATGAATTCACTTGTGTTTCTGTACTTAGTTTGTGTTGTATTCGAGAAAATATTTGATCAATAGTTTATTTAACGTTTCACCAGCAATTATATAAAAATAATTCAATTTTCTTTTAATTAATGAATGTAGGATAAAATTTCTTTTGCTAATCTTGGAGTTCAAGCTATTAATTTCTCCATTGAACATTTTCTAAACATTTTATACGAGTTAATATCATTAAACGTTAATAAATACACGAGTGAAATAAAATTTGATAGCAATAAATTTAACAGTAATAATTTACAGCGTATATCACTTATTAATTAAATTTGATGAACGTCCACATGGTTATGAACGGGGCACTCGCGTGACCGTCGTAGTTTCCCTTCAGGGACTAAAGAACTTATCATTAACAGTAAAAATCTACGAAAGTACCGAGACCATCTTCACTTTCGACCGGTGCAGAAACATGTTACGCTTAATGGTATCTTGTTGTACGGTTGTTCACGGAATAGATTAGTTGTCAAAAAATTCAAAGAGTCAGCGTTGTATATTTCCACGGTTTCACAAATGTCAAGTTCAAAGCGTCAAAGTGTCAGTATTTCGTACAATCGACTCAGCGAAAATATATCTATTCGTAAACAGAACATTGTTATTCCATCGTTGGTACCAATTTTTGTGAAATTGTTTACGTGGGCGAAGTTCATCGTTATTCAATATTGCAACTAATAGCTCGTCGAAACAAGGCAACATTTGTGACTTTGAATTTCTTATTCAGCGTTATACAGGGTGACTCAATAAGAATTAGTTGGAATAGTTATTGGTAGGACTAGTTTTAAATTATGTACTTTTATTGTTATATTTTAGTAGAACATACTGGAGACGAAAGATTCTTGTATATTTATTAACCCTCTGACTGTGGGACGATTTTTGCTAGAAATTCTAAGCGGCGTAGACGTGTGAATTTTAAATAAATATCAGCTTATATCAGTTTCAAAAATAAAAATTAAAGACTTAAAAAACCTTTTTTCCTCATATCTCGTAGCGGTCTGATCCTGTTCATGTTGGCTTAAGCAAATCTCGAAAATTAGGATTTTAACAAAATTTCTTTATTTATCATGGTACATCCCCTTTCAAACAAAACATTTTTTTCTAGTAACATCTCTATGTATTAAATTTAATTTGAAAGATTTTTGTATAAGGTGAATAAATAACGACTTATTCCAGGCTTTGTGACAATTCTTATCGACTCACCCTGTACAGAATAATTACAACGCGACACATGTCTAAAGATGACACTCCGAATGGATCGGTCATTCGTCATCGCAACTCCCAGTCGTTTCTAAATATATATAAAATAAGAAAGAAACGAAAGTTTAATGCAACACCTCGTCCCTGAAGGGCTGGAGATAACGACGTTATAATACGGCACCTTAACAGCAAATTACCCGAGAAAGAAACAGCGAGTACCGAACCCGATCGCGAGTTATTAATGATTAATTCTCAAACTTATTTCGCCCGCTGTTATTCTGCGGCCTGTGCCTTTACGAATTCATAACCACGTAATAAGAGTAATTTATCACGGACGCGACAAAGTGAAAAAGAAAAACCACCGGCCAGCTGCGGCCGTGATTTATTTACAATACGCGTACCCAAGCGCGTTCCTCTTTTAAGGGAGCCTTCTGGATTTGGAATTTGTGAAAATGCTAGATTTATTTTATTTTTATATTTTACATAGGCATATAACGACTTTTGCAAAAAAAAAGAAACATACAGATTCTTAAAATAAGTACAAATAAATATGCAAAGTTTGATATAGCTATGAACATTTCCACGAATAAAAATTCCTAAAATTCCACCTTTCTTTAGCATCTTGAAATACAGTTTACCTACCATTCTTGTTCATACATCTCTTCAATAAACTAATATTTCTGTATGATAAAAAAACACACACACATTTTCTTGAGATAAGTACAAATAAATATGCAAAGTTTGAAATAACCATTATCAACATTTCCAGCAATTAAAATTCCTAAAACCATTCCTCCTTTCAGTGTTCTGAAACGGTTCGCCTAATAATCTTCTTCATACAATCCACCAAATAAATGAACAATTCTTCTCCATGAAAAGAAATACACATCTCCTTAAAATACGTGCACAGGGACGAGTCAAGTTCGAAAAAGGCCCGATCAACAGGGCCAGTAAAAAGAATCCACGAAAAGGTCGGCCGTTTTCGGTGTCCCGGACCAGAAGGCTCCCTTAAACGTTTATCGATCCGAGATAAAAAGGAAAATGGCCACGTCCCGTCGGCAAGGTACCGTTAAGATTCTCTGTACTTTTTCCCCCCGCCGGGTTCTCGACCGAAACTGCGAATGAAAAGGCGGGATCGCGATGGTCGTTTCGTCAGGTGGGTGCTTGGACGTTGCCCAGAACCGGGTGTACATGACGCAAATTGTTCTCAGGTGTTACGATAAGGCGGGCTTCTTCCCGACGGCCGAGTACTCGGTCTGGTGCAGCACGAATAGCACGCTACGCGGTCCAGGTGACGTGGAGTACGTGGTCGCCTGCTGCGACCACGCCGACTACTGCAATCGCGACCTAAGGCCCTCTTTTCTCCCTCGCGCGGATAGAGGTGGGCCGTACTCTCGAATCACCGATTACCTCGGACGAGGTACAGCTTCCGTGCACGCTGTGGTTCCTTCCAAGGTCGTCTTTTCGAAATTTCCGAAAATCTATGTGAGATTTCATGGCGAGGTTAATTTCAAATATGAACAAGTTCGAAGAAACTGTAAATGGTTCTCCTAAAGGGACATCAGGATTTTGGTTTTTAGTAAAACATATATGTGGGAGTTTAGAGTCGATGGGTCAGTTGGATGAGAATAGCACCTGCATCTCTTTGAGGCACATGATTTAAAAGAAAAAGAAAATTCGAGATGTGTCGAATACGATATGATTACTTATTCAGCTTCAAAGTTAGTGTAAAATAAAGTATTCGTAGTAAATCAATTCGTTTAACACGTTCACTGCCAGACTAATACTCTTGACACTTAACTTTCAGAATTAATAGTTTTCGTTTTTCAGTGAAAAGCACTGTCACCCACATATGGGTGACGTGGCGATCAACGTGTTAAAAATACTTTCATAGATAATTTTTCTTCAAATATTTTTAATGAATAATTTGTCTAAAATACTTTTAAATATATCAGTTTATTTGAAAATGGTCCAATAAATAATGTTTCTTAAAATCTGTAGTTGTTTGTAAATGAATTTATATTAAACGTTTTATTAATTTATCAGGTTAAATGAATATATTGTACATGATTACAATTAAAGATGAATGATGATTTAAAAAACAAAATCCTGAAATTCTTGTTGGAAACCATTTATTTGAGAGCAGTGGTTCTTAAACCTTTCAAGCTCAATTTCTAATCGGAGTCAATGAACAATTTAGGAAAAGATAAGTAATTCTTAATCCATTGCACTTGAACCAATTAGGCTGTACGTTGGTAGTCACTTCCAAGGAACTTTTTCTTAAGAAGAATTCGACACAAAAAAGGAAATTTGTTAGTATTTTCAGAACTTTTGCGAATGTAATTTATTTTAATGCCTCAGCCTTCTTATTCTTTCAATTACTAAAATTGTATGCAAGTGTAATAATTACCGGTGAGAGAATGACTGTAAACATAAAATATAAAGAGAATAAAAATGATAAAATGTATGGAAATCGAACTTAGTTAACAATAAATTAAGCAATATTGTAACTGTGATATTTTGTTACCTTGTATAAATGAAAATCGCTATGAATTTATGCATTTATTACACATGATTTGCAGATTACGCGTAACCATTGTTTTAATGTCAGATACCACGTGAAAAGTCAATTCATTTTTATATCTGATTATAAAACAATGCCTAACCGACGTTGTTTATTAAAATTCATAATTACTTCGTATCGCACAATGATAAAATAAAATACTCAGTTACAGCGTGCGCCAATTCTATTTTCATTTATTTTATACATTTTATACTCTCCATATTTAATGTTTCTGATCATTTTCGTCTGACAACTGTCCACATCACTTGCACAACAATTTTCCTCGCTCAATAAGGACCCACGAAAAAAAAATTGAAATATTTAAATAAATTACGTTTCCAACTGTCCAACAAAATTCTGATCTCCATCTCCATATATGTAGTTTAAACGAATAGAAACCTAATAACGACCTTGGAAAGACGATCGCGATGAGAATGAAATGAAAAATCGGGCTTTTGATCATCGACTTTCGATGCTTTTTGTGATTTGTCTGGGCGATCATCTCTGTCACACATACACACACACATATTGTCGATCCCTTGTACACGTCTGTGATCATGCGTCTCGCTTATACCGAGCTGACAAATCGCGACAATGTGACGTGATTCGTTATTTGCGTAACATACTCTTTCACGCCTGAAATTCGATATTTAATACTGCCATTGTGCGATGCCGCTGTTCTATTGCATAACTCGATGACGCCTTTTGTTTACATTACGATAGCTTCGTCTTTCGCAAATGTATTGTGCAATTTGCTTGTAAATATACACGTTGGCACGTACAAAGTGTTACAAGCTGTTTTCTCGAAAATTAATGGAGATATCTTCGTTTATTTCAGAGTTAAAGGGAACGGGAAGATGAATCTTTTAGCGCGAAACAAATGTTTTTGGAGTAATTGTTAGGAGAGAAAATGATATGTTAAAAATTCATGTCGTTATATTTTTAGTATTGTGTCTGTTAAATTTGTTTAAGAAGAGGGTGGTGTTTATTTTTCGTTAATTGGATAGCTCGTATAAAATTGAATAAATTTCGTTAGAAACGTTTTTTTTTTTTTTTTAATATTGAAAGTTATATAATGTTTTACCGTTATAGTTTTATCATATATACAGGGTAGGGCAGTAACTATTAGCACCTCAGATATCTTCGAAACTCTAAGTAGTTCGCTTATTGCGTCTAGAATCCAACGGTGCATTGACAGTGATGGTCATCATTTCGAACACCTACTACATATAAACATGTTTCATTTACTACCAAAACCGTAAGTATTATCGCCTTTCTCTACTTTCTATGACCTTCAACGACCTTGTGTAATAGATCGTTGAACTCGTTTTAAGATCCATTTTAAAAAAATGGATGTGACCTTCAAATGTCCGAAGTACCTCCACCTGCAAAAAAAACTATTATCGCCACCGAATAGCGCCCTTCGTACTGTGCAATTTTATTTCAGCAAATATTTCTGTGAATCTTAAAGTTTCGAAGATATCTGAGGTGCTAATAGTTACTGCCCCACCCTGTATATTTTTGTTTCACTATTATATAGATACAAGATTTGTAATAAAACACAATGTAAAACAAGCTGATAATGATTGGCCACTGGAGTCACGCGCACGTGACTCCCGCAGGTAAAGCGTTAAGTCTCGACGATTTCGCGCTCGGTGAACGTAATTTTCGTGATGTCACAATCAGACCAGGGGATTGTGTATCATCTGCATCGGTATGCAGAGTAAGGGACAGGACAGGCCGTCCACGGAGATAATATATGCCTTGTAAGCCTCTCACGGATAAGATAATAACGAATTTATACTCTTGCACTCGGTAATCGCATTCTACTCCAACGCAATTCGAAGACTTTCGATAAAGTCGAGATGCCTGCCGTTCACTCGGCGTTCCACTATACACGGAAACATACGTACACGATAACGACACGTTTGGTAGGTGATTCAGTGGCTATTTAGTCCGGGGGGTACAAAATTTTCAACTAGATAAGAATTTTGAGTAACGAATGAAAGGTAATTTCTTATTTGTTACCGATAATAAAGAGGATCAAATATTATTTTCGATAAATGCATGCACACACGTTTTTGATTACTGGTTAAACGAGGGTGCTAATGTTCACGCCTGGACAAGAATTTCGAATAAGAAAAATAAAAGATCGTCTTGCTTCTTGTCAGGTGCGATAAGCTCGTGGTTGAATTTCGCGTTCGTCGAGACGCATTCGTTTGGTTCCTTGATGACGCGACACAGCGAATTTCGTGCGGCGAACGGAGAATGATCCCAGCTCGTATCTGGCATATTTACGCTCGTGTTACTTTCCAGGCAGATTAGAAAGTGTGTTTGAAGCGATTCGCGATCGCGACGGAAATCGCGTGTTGCTTTACTCGACGCGATTCAGATTCCCGAGTCGACTGTGCATCTGTTTATCGCACGGACATTAAAGTATTTCCATAAATGGTGTTTCTTTTTGTTATTAAAAATTCGTAACATTTTTAAGGGATAGGATTTGTGTCAATGATCTCGTAGGAGGTTGTAGATAAATGTTTGCTAGAATTTGGAAAAGATACAGAGTCAGAGATGGAAACATTTTTTGGCCGGGAAGAATAATAAGTTGACATTTCGAATTACGTCTTACAAAAATGTGTGAATTGCAATTCAAGCACAAACAGAACCCTCAAGCCTACAACATTAATCACGTACTCCAAAATATTAATAATAAACGGAAAAAGAATGTCACACTTACGGAATCTTGAACAAATATAATAAAAAAGGCTGAAAAATTCATGTAATTCAAATATTCGCGTACAAGTTGACATTTCCAACAAAGTTTTCTAACAACGCCTAATTCATACACCACTCCATAGAACAAACTGAGCGTGTTCGTAACAGCACGTTTGTTTTTGAGTATCGTTTGGCCAGGGGGCGACTGGTTTCTATCCAACGTTCCAAAACGGACGGAATTGCGTCGATGGGTTGTTCGTCGTTGGTAAACATTGACGCATAAACATAATAGAAGCATGAAAGCGAACATACTGAATGCAAGAGTGACGACAGCGCGAATAAAATGGACGACAGCGCGACGTTGTACAGAGTAACGAGGCGTATTCGCCGGGTATTGACGGAGGGATGATGGGACGTATCGAAAGCGGTATCCATCGATTATAGGGGCTCCTCTAAATCCGTGGGAGAGGCGGCTAGTTATTGATGCGTGCTTTCGCTGCTACGATTTGTTTCGCGTACGTTAATAACGTTGCTTACATGTTTTTCTCGCGATATTTTCCGACACGCAATAGAGCGCACGGGTCTACGATCGATTAAAAACGACGCAGAGGCAGTGCAGATATTTAACCCTCTATGGCTCCGTGTATTCATTTACATAGTGTCATATGTTCATTTATGAATTTTGTTCCGAACGTGTGCTATAAATTCACAGTATTAATTAGCATTATATTCAACATGTTTAAAGATTTTTTTATTTTTTCAAACAATCTTTGACGTGGACTATAATTGGGGTAGTTTTAATAATAACACCTTTCATTGATAACATAATGTATAATAATGATATAAAAAAATTAAATATTTAAGCAATTCGTTTTGATATTTTTGCATTAGTCTCATACCTACACTAAATGCAAGCAAGATATACGTTTAATGCAATTTTCTTTAAAAAATTCAGTTAGAACTACTGATTCTTTGTTGGATTCTGTTCTCGGTTCATTTTACTATAATTCACGACCAAAAATTGTTTTCAATTTGATAGATTGTCAAATAAATTAAAATGGATTCCAACTCGAATTGAAACGTTTAGGACTTTTAGCACCATCTTGAAATGTTTAATTTTCCTTTGCACTGTTTGGATAGGCAGAGTAAATAGTATACAAATGGTAAAACTTACAATTAACACTGATTGAATTTCGAATCGTTCGAGGCAAGAGAACAGCGGTTTCCCACCACTTGTGGTATGTAATCTTCAGGAATTGCGGGATCGAATTAACGCGATAAGCTGTGGCGTTACGCTCCTTTGTTTCTGAAAATGGAGGCCCTCTTCAAGCTCGTTGTACAGCTCACAGCGATGCTATCGATCGAGTAATTCGTTGAATGTAGCCTGTAGTACATGTCGAACGTAGAATATATTTTGATCGGTTCAACTACTTAAATTAACAATGCCAGAACTGCGAATAAAATTGTTAAGAGGTTAACAGTATTTAGAATGTTGAAAGTTGAAGTTTAGTCGCTAGAAGTCTCTAAAAAATGATCGTAATTACATGTCAATATTTTAGTGTATTTTACTCAATTACAATATACATAAATTTTAATTTTTAGTAATGTCTAAATTATTTACTTTGAAGAATTGATATTTAATATCAAAGACACATGCAGTAATAAATAGGAATGTCTAATACAATTTATAATACATGGAGCAAACAAATTCTGAAACCCATTTCGTTAAATATTGAAGGAAATAGGTTTCCTCGAGTCTCTATAATACAAAGAATAAACTCTGAGCAATTAACAGGATTTCCTTCCTCCTTCTGTGGTCCAGATTCACCACCTCTTGAAGTATACACACAATTACGAATCACTTTGCATAACAAAATAGACTCATAAAATCACTCTTAACAGTTACAAACGAAGCAGTTGTTATAAGTTATTAATATATTTCGAGGAACAGAACGATGATTTATATACAGTCAGTCCCACAAGTACTCCTACACTCTATTATTGAAGAAATTTGTCTGAACTAAATGATAGGTTTGATGTTTCCAAATAATTTTGTTCGTTACAAATATATACATGAATAATCTCATACTCATGTTTATTGAAGAAAATCGGAATCGAATGACAAGTTTACTGTTGCCGAATCAATTTTTCATTATATATACATGCGTAAAGATTATTCATGATCTTTTATCTGGAAACATCAAACATTCCATTTAATTTAGACAATGTGTTTTAAATAAATATAGAAAGGAACGAATAGTTATGGGACTGACTGTACATAAATGGAAACGGTTATTTTGGAATAAAGTGAAACCCTCGGCAATTTTTCGTATCGCTGCTGTAAAATATAAAAGCGCTCGATATTCACGTGATGAATCCACCGTTCACGAGCGAAATTGCTCGCTTCGTTCAGGGCTCGGAGATTGCATGATGGCGCACAGCCGATGAAACATATCGGGACTTGATACACTAACATCGCGCGTCAGCGAGGTATCCAGCCCCTAAAATTCTTCCCAATTTTTATTGGTCTTTTCATCGACGTGCAATCATTCGCCTGTGACTTTGTCTGCCTCCTCACCGTTATTCGTCATCTCATCGAATTCCTCCGTTGGGAATCAATTTGGTGCCTGATCGTAAAAGACGGATGGTTCTCGTGCGAACGCGAGTCCCGTGATCGATTCTCTTCTACGAATACTTTCCGACAAAGTCCAGCGGGTCAGCAATCTTCCGAATCTCTTCGATTCAATGGAAGAAAAATTGAAAATGAAAATTCGAACAAAGTATAACATCGATTGCATTCCGTTTCAGAGTTGGGAATTTTTGTATTCGGATCACGAATAACTTGTATCGACAAAGATTTACTCGTGGTGCACGAATAAAGCTTTGTCTGTATGGAAATTTTATTTTGGGGAAGTTTTATTTGGGTAATAAGTTATTCTTTGACTTGAGAGTGAAATGTTGTTCGTTTTTGTTGTTTGAGTATATTTTAATTGGAATAATAAAAGGGCGCGAGTAAATGTTGATTTTACAAGTATGTTTGATATTGTTTGTGATATCAAAATATGGAATGTGTTATATAAATGGCACTAAAAATCATAATATATGCAAACAGATATCGCATAAAGTTTGCATAAAAATGCGAGAAGAACCACACACCAGTCAATAAACACATATTACTCATAAAAATAGGGTAAGCATGAGAGTACACACATAGGAAAAAGTTCCTACACGCACATCTTCGCCACAAACACGTGCATAAGGATTCTTTTTTTACTTATATAACGTTTTATTCGAAGGGAAAAATAATCGAATAACGAATAACGTGTCATTCAAAAGTTCTTCAAATCAAATACACAACTAACGATTATTAATTATCCAGATAATCGAATCTTTATCTGAATAACTACCCAAATAATCTATTCGTATTCGAATAACGCCCAACTCTACCTCTCAATTTCTCATCAGCCTACGAACAGAATCGATAGAATCAAAAGTACTTTCAATCGCGACTCGAAACCACGGAACTCCTCAAAATTTAACACCGTTCTCGTTAACGTTTTTGTGTGGTTTTATCGACGAATAACCCGATTAACAGCATCCGCGTTTTCCCAAAGGAATTCATCTTCGCCACACGCGACGAAGGCTCAGGTAAGTCGAGCTGCGAACGCGCAACACGATGATGATGTTTCGATCCGCAGAGATCACGAGAGAAGCGTTCTATCCGCACGATGACTCACGCCACAGCTTGCATCATCGTTGTTACATGCACTAACCAGTGACAGGTAAAGGTGGTTTGTCATTTTCGACGATCAGTTGTGATGCGGAGGAGGTGAATCATCCAAGTATGCTCTTGTACGTTTACAACCCCCAGAGTGCTTTCTTCGCAACGATTTCTTTCTGCATCCTTGAGGGGTACATGCAATCTCAAAAATTTTCTTTCAAGATTTAAATACACACTTTACAGTACACTGTATATTCTGTACTTATTGAATTTGATACATACATATACAGTCAATCCCATAAATATTCGTACCCTCTATGTCTATTGAAGAAGTTTGACTAAATTAAATAGTTTTGATCTTACCAAATGAATTTTTTTCGTTATAAATATGTATATGAATAAGCTAATACATATACATATTTATATAAACATACACTTGGAAACATCAAACTTACCATTTAATTTAAACAAATTTCTTCAATAGAGATAGTAGGTACGAATATTTATGAATTGTACTTAAAAATTGCGCCTTGTTTCGAATCAAAATATGCATTTTAACCTTGTAAAAAAAAAAAAAAATGTATATGTGTGTACCCCTTCAACACGTTCAGTATCGTTCACGTTCACTGTTCTGAAAACTTTGGGTCAAGACAGCTTAGGATCAAGAGGCTTATGACTTTCCAGGACAAGCTAATTTCCGCTTCCAGGGACAGTGAACGCATCTATCGACCTGGAAAGTATGAGAAGATTGTCGGGTTACTCGGTACGCCCGAAGTATTTGTCACAATTTGAGAAAAAAAGAGTTTGTCCCCCATCCCCGTCCCCATTGACTTCTCCTCATATCTAATCGCAAGCTGCATGCATCTATCGAGTTTGTACCGCTGCTGTTGGTGTAACGCATGCTTCTGGTACGTTTCTTGCCTAGGCATGTTTCGTAATGGTGTTTCCGTATGTTGCATCTATTTGTGTTGTTCGGCGTCGCGCCTTCCTTCCCTTGATCTCCCTTTCGAGATTGGCTTCGCTGCTTTTTTCCTTTCTTACGCGGGGAAACGCGTTACCTTCGATGGAGTCTATGCAAGAATTCACGAAGAATCCAAAGTCCTGGGATTTCTGGTTATCAACGTTGGGCTGTCGCTAGCCAGAAACTGTGCAATTTCGATTACATAGAATTTTTCATTGAATTTGAAATGTAAATGACTGATGACTTAGAAGTGGAGTTGATGCGAAGGGATGACTGTAATTGCAGCTGGTTGGTAAGCAGAGAAATAGCGATGGCAGACTGGCAATGATAGGATCCGATCGAAATATTTTATGAAGATGAAATATTTCATGTGGATGCAATCTGTCTGACATCTCCATCTCTCTAATTATCACTTCCCGACTGCATCTGTTCTCATCGTCGGTACTTAAACATTCAAAGGACTAAGTAAATTTATAAAAGGAGCTTGCAAAGTCCCGCGAACGGTATAACCGCGTTTCTCCGAGCAATTTCACGCCACGCGACGCTCGGTGGAGTGATCAAACCATAATCGGAGATGTGTTGCCAAAAGTGTCGCCGGGTGGCGATGACGCAACGTGGGTCACTTGGAAAATGGCCCTGACGATAGCGATACCGATATGTGCGATCTGCGTGGTTGTTATGATCATTTATCATATACACATGACCAAGACGAGGCCTGGGGGCCATTTCCCTGACGACTCGCTCGAGGCGCCCGATCGACCCATCCTGGGTGGTGTCACCATCAAGGACATGCTGGAGATGACGACAAGTGGCAGTGGCTCAGGTAGGTCAAATAAAAGTTTTGCAATCTACGTGGTAACGCGTGGCTTTTTTTTTATTTTTAACCCTTTCAGACTTGAACTATTACTTTTTCTCGTACTAATGTAATTTGATTTTTTGAGTTAACTTGGACTAAAATTAGCGTGGAGAAAATGAAAAAAATCCTAATAGTGTAGTTTTAGAGGAAAATTGGTCTTTTTTCGTGTGCACAAATAAGGACATCCGTCCTAAACGATAGTGTCGGTAATCTTTAAATTTTGTGTCCCCGATTGTGGACGCCAGATCTGAAAGGGTTAAATGTTTAAGTTCGATTGAGGCCAGATTGTCGCTCGAAGTCACTTGGTCGGCCATGAATCAAAAGTAGACAAGATTTTGGCCTAATTTCTTCTATTCAAGTGTTATAATAACGTATGCAGTGTTAACACGTTGACTGCCGCGCGAAATAAAGGGTTTTTCAATTATGAAGTAAAGGAAAGAGAAGAAATAAAAAAACTTAAAATTAAATAAAGATTTGGGAAGTTAAAATAAAAGAATTAGTGTTGAGAATGATTAAACTCGAACAAATATTATAGATAGTCTATACCATTCCTGTCCAGAGTCAGCTTCTAGAGTTAAATCGTTTTTTCTATAGTTTTTGTTTTCAGTGTAGAAAAACTGTAGCTAAGGTAGCGTTAATACACGTGATAAATACGTGGCCAATATGATTACTCTCGCAGAACTCCGCAACTCTACTGTTTTTTGGTGAGGATGAGCGATGGGGGAAGAAAACGACTTTAGGGGCTCAACTCGTGGACAGGTCTGGAATAGATTGTCGACGTCCAATGATACTACAGCGATAATCAAATGTCCGTTCAAGGTCGTGACAGATTTAACCCTCGATATTTCATCATTTGGTTCCCGTTTATTATTGTTCGAGGCGTTCATGAAATTCGTATTTAACATAGAGATTCGCATAGAGATCACAAGATTATAAAATATAGTATATATTGAACGATTAAAAATAGATTGCAGCTACACTAATAGTTTGCTTCATTCTTCATATATAATTTTTGTCATTTATTATGTATTTATTCAAAGAGTTCCCGGAACAAAACTTTTACAATTTTAATTATATCATCAAAATAAATATATAGTTATGGAGACCTCGTATTAACGAAGTTGGGGAGTTTCAACTGGTCTGACATAAAGAGGGAGGTGTCTTGATTCATGGTGGAGGAAAGTGTGACCTTGAGCGACAAGAATCTTTTCTCCCTGTTATAGAAATGTACTTTAAATGATATCTAAAATATTTTACTAGTTAAACAAAAATTACATCATTTCTCTCTTGTGAAAAGAAATCTCCAAGATCATTTAATATTTAGACAACAAAACATTATTATAATATTGAAATGCGGAGCGTAAATTTCGCTCACACGAGCCGTGTATCTGCAACCATACTGAATTTCTTGTTCTTCAATCCCCATCCTCTCCCAAGTAGGCCTGCCGCTCCTGGTACAGCGGAGCATAGCACGCCAGATACAACTCGTGGAGACGATCGGTAAGGGTCGCTTCGGCGAGGTCTGGCGTGGCCGTTGGAGGGGTGAGAACGTCGCAGTGAAGATCTTCAGCTCCCGCGAGGAGAGGTCTTGGTTCAGGGAGGCCGAAATTTATCAGACGGTGATGCTGAGGCACGACAATATCCTCGGATTCATCGCTGCCGATAACAAAGGTATGTAATCCCTTGATGCCATCTCCAATTACTCCAAGGGGTGCTCTTTTGGGCCAAAAAGTAGATTATTTTTTATATTTGTATTGCTAGAGGTTTTTGAAATATACAAATATTTGAAAATACTTTGGCTGCAAAAAAATGATGAAAATTGCCTTGAAACTGGTCAAAATAAAACAGTCCCACCTTAACTCTTTGGGGTGTCACAAATTAAAAACTGCCCCACCTTTTGCTTAGCTTTAATATTCCATTAAAAATTTTTCATTCATCTAACAGTACCACGAACTTCCACGGAATATGAAATGAATTCAAGCAGAAATTTGTAAAATACAAGTAAAAACACATCACTAAGTTGTGGACATTGTTCTCCTATTTAGTTTTATTTTTCGTTCTTCGATTTCTCTTTTTCTTCTGAATCACGTGTCTCGAAGAGCTAAAATACAATAAAATTCCACCCTCGATCAAGGGTTGTGCTCACCAGCTAACCGTGTTCGATTTAATTTTGTTCTCAGACAACGGCACCTGGACTCAATTATGGCTGATCACGGATTACTTCGAGAAGGGTTCGTTGTTCGATTATCTGAACAGATCTACCGTGGACACGAACGGCATGATCAGAATGGCGTTGTCCATCGCCACTGGACTGGCGCATCTTCACATGGAGATCGTCGGCACGCAAGGGAAGCCAGCGATCGCTCACAGGGATCTCAAGTCGAAGAACATCCTCGTGAAGACCAATGGTACGTGTGCCATTGGTGACCTTGGACTGGCCGTCAGACACGACGTGATAACGGACACTGTCGATATCCAGCTCAACAACCGAGTGGGAACCAAGCGATACATGGCACCTGAGGTAAGTTATATGAAGAATGACTATCAACAATTGCATAAATACCATCAACCCTAGAAAGATCGAGCGAAACAGAGCTACAATAAACAACTTGAGGGGTATTCATTTATTTTGAGTCAAGAATAGATTTTTAAATGAAAGAGGTCTATTAATAATTCTATGGATTCGTGCATAATGCAGGAATGCATAAATCCATCAACCCTAGAAAGACCAAGTGAGGCCAAGTTACAAAACTATCTTAATAAAGGAATAAAACATACTTCTTTTGTCATATTCGAAAATTGTATCGTTTTAAAAGGAGCCCACAAAATTAATAAATCGTGCTGTATATATTAATGAATAGAGAAATTACCCAAAGCAACACTTCTCTAAATGTTTAAGAACGTAAGATGCTTAGGTTTAGTAAGAAAACTAATAAACAAAAAAGATAAAAGGCGGCTGAGTACCAACGGTTACGTAAGCTGATAACATAACTTCCCAGAACTTTTGAACTTTCTGAACCCCGCGTATTTTAATTAATACGCAGTAATTATTTACTCGATAATATGAAACTCTAACTAATGCATTTGAGAAAGTAAGAATTCCTTGTAGGTCACGAGAGCAAAGCTGAACGAAACCCGATAAGAAATTGTTACTTTTCTAAACATGTACGTAGAAGTTACATATTATCTTATTCAAACAAAATAACAAACTAGAAAGAGTTTGAGGAAATCCGTTAGATTATCAAAGACGTTTTTGTCCAAATTCTACTAATAATTGTTAATGAATAAGATGGCTTGACTTAGATTACTGTATACCTGAAGAAGACCATGAAATAATTACAAACGTTGATGTGCAAATAATTAATATAATATTTTCTATTCACAATATCTATATCTTAACAGTTGAACTTAGCGTTGACCTTAAAATAGTAACTTTTGTAAATAATGTTCCAGTTAGAAATATAAAAAACGTAGACAAGCTTCCCTTGGTCTTCAACATAACATCCCATGGGGTCTTTCTAGGGTTAACGTTCGATTTCGGAGCATGGATGAACATGCTCGTCTTCGGAGAAAGTTGCCAGCTGGAGAGGTGGCTCCTGAGAATGGTGGGTTCTGCTTTCAGGTTCTCGAAGAGACGATAAACATGAACCACTTTGATTCCTTCAAGAGGGCTGACGTGTACGCTCTCGGGCTGATCCTCTGGGAGATCGCCAGGCGATGCAACGTCGGCGGGATCCACGACGAATATCAGTTACCGTTTTACGACTTGGTGCCTTCTGATCCAACGATCGAGGAGATGCGCAAAGTTGTGTGCACCGACAAACAGAGGCCGTCGATACCGAATCGGTGGCAGTCGATCGATGTACGTGTAAACAACCCTTTGATCGCGACTGATCGATCGCTGATCGCTCGACACGTTCATCGTTGCATTAGTTTTCCATGTCTAGGGCTGTCCTTGACATTTCTTCAATAGTTTATTAGTTTCTTTGTAGTAAGTAGCTGTTAAGAAGTTTACAAGTGGTAGAGATTGTTTATTGTGAGTGTTTTATGAAATGTCAGAGGAGAAATGTGACGATTAACGTGTCAACTGTCGCATCCCAGTTAACTAGGGTAACGTGATTCCTAAATAAATGAGTAACCCAGACCTAATCCAGACCTGACCCCACTCATGTTTATAAGGGACATCAAGAATTGTAGCTCTCTTATTATTATGAAATTTTGCTTAAAGAAAGCCCTAGAAAATGTTAGGGGTGAGTTATCAGACATTTACAGGCCTAACCGAAGCATATTTATAAGGTACATCGTCAACTATAACACTCAAATTTCAAATGAAATTTTATCTAAAGAAAAATGATTAAGAAGTGTTATATTTGAGTTATCTTTTACTAGCTTATATTCAGGTTCAAGGGATGGAAAGTACACTCGAAGTTGTGATACAAATTAGTTTCTGAAACTCCATGCAAACCTTGACGAAATCCTACGCTGACACTTAATAAACGCTATCCTTTTTCACTGCACACCACGTAGCTTCGTCTACTAAACAACATTGTTTGTCTGTTGCAGGCATTGCAGGTGATGTCGAAGGTGATGAAGGAGTGTTGGTACCACAACGCGGCAGCTAGGCTAACCGCCCTTAGGATTAAAAAGTCTCTCGCCAATTACGGCGCGATGGAAGACTTGAAGTAAAAATAAAGACGTTATCGGAACGCACCAGTCCGTTCGACTGGTCGCCGAACACGACGAAGAGAATTATAGTGCCCGAAAAACACACGTGGACACTCGTGCCGTAACACTTATCGCAATAAAACTGTTCAAGTGTCGTGTTATCGCGCACCCGCGAGAAGTAGAGGTATATATATAGAACGATAGAGAATCAGAAAATAATGAAAATGGGAAACTGGTACGAAACGGGAATTCTATAGCGAAGCAGAGAGCCTAACGAAAGACTGGTCGAGAAATCGAGACGACGTTCCTTTAATCGCGTTGATTTCGTCGAGTCGTGCCCTAATTTTGTGTATCAAACCCTTTACGAGATCGTGGAATTGTTCTGTGAGGTCGTGTTGTCGGTGTACTCGATGAGAATTTTTGTTTCACAACGTTTGGACGAGCAATGACTGACGGGATATACGAACAGGGTCGGCGGAGATCGGAGATGGGCGAAATTCTTTTAAGGATGTCGAATAATGAAGGACATATGAATAATTTATTGTTCGCTACTAGTTGAACAGACTTCACAATTTGTACATGAAATGTCTCTACTGCTTTTAATGATCGGAAGATGTGTCGAAGTGGAAAATGTTTGGTTTAGAAGACTCTGACATTTACATTTAGTGAATCTTTGCTAGAGACAAAACATTTTTGTACATTTATAAATTTTTTAAGAATAATTTCTTAGAAGGCCATCCTCAGGTATGTTATACCTATATATTATACCTGTTTGAATTTATCTTTTTATTATTACAACAATGAAAATACACTGGAATAATTTGTCTATCTCTCTCTAAACCAGACATTGTCCTCTTGTAACATAACTCCGTATCATTAAAAGTAACGAAGATATTTTAGGTACAAAGTTTGAAAGATTCACCCCATATATCACACATTGAACAAACAAAAATCACAGTGGACCTATTCAATCGAATGAATGTCTTAAACATGTATTATTCTCAAGAAATTTTGCCCATCTCCGTTTGGGGATCTTTCAAATGGAACATTGAACTTCTGGTTGCTCGATCGATCGATCGATCCTAACCGGGAATGAGCGCGCGCGTACGCGTTCGGTTAATCGAACGGTCCACGCCTGGTCACGCGTCACACTACTGCTGTATATTTATTGATAGTAAACGATAAGGTAATGAAGTATATAAATTTATTATATAGCGACGTTTATTGAGTAATATTAACGATTAACGATAAATTTGTATATTAATATATACACACGTATAATTATGTATATTCGTTATCGGCCAAACCGATTCGATTAACTGAACTGATTTGTATTCTTTAAGAGGTTTACCAGAGGAGGTTTCCATTCCATTAATCACGATTATACGTAAAATTGGCGAAACGAACGAATCGATCGACGCTCCAGGGGATTCGCTCTCCGCCCCGCGACATTTTGATTTCGTACACCTTTGGATCAATTCAAGAGAGATTATATAGAGAAGAAAAGTCAGTGGAAAAAGCGAATAAGAGAAAAAGAGAGCACACGCCTGTTCTTCTCTAATAACGCGTGCTCATTAATCCTTAGCAGTCCAAATTTTATGATTTCAGGACAGTTCTGTCGAGTCTCACTCGACATAGGACAACAAAGGGTTAAGAAACTTTGGTGTTCCTGTTCATTTATTTGTTGAGGGTGCCTAGCTCGCGATTGGCTATAACAGCTAAAGAAACTTTAGTGGGAGAGAATACGAATTGAGAAGAAATGTCGAGAAATGTGAGTTCGCTCATCAAGTCTTAAAATTCTGATGCCCATCAAAACATAGAAACAGAGATACTTTCTCCATTTGTTCTCTCTTTCTACGCACTACCTCCACTTAGGCTCCAATGACTCTACTCTGTCTATATGATCTCTCTGATCGATCCACAAGGATGGCCTCCACGTCAGGGTTTTTTACTGTAACGTATTCTCCTCTTCTTTCTTTTTTCTACATTTTCGTCAATGTAGATTCGTCGCTACCGGTGCGCGCAGAGACTGGACCTTTTTATTCAACTTTTGTTGGGAGTATATACCGTAGACCGTGTTACAAGAGAAATGCATAACTTTGTTTCTCGTTCTTTCGCGACTGCAGGATCGAGTTCGTCGATTCTGTAAACATACAGGGTAGATAGAGAGAAACCGAGCAATTGTGGTTACCGAGTACGTAAGTGGCCGAGGACAGTGAAGAACACAGACACACGTGGCTTTTGTTCGAAAGGTACCAAGATCGTACGAACGCTGACCTGAACTTTTTTTTTCTAAAAAAAAAAGAAGAAAAGAAAACGAAAAAGAAAAAAAATAAATGAATGCAACCGTTGCTTTTCGACCCCCGTGAAAGCGCAATTTTCACACGTATCACCTTTCCGGACGCTAAGTTTCTACTCGAGGTTTTTACAACAACGAAGTTTACTCCGCGACTTCCGGGCTTGATTTTTTAAACGAACCGCGTCACGTCTAATGTATACATATTGTTAGTCTGTAGACATACCCAGATGTTTTGCTCAAGACAAAATATTTTTGCGTATCGTAAATGCGCGTGTTGAAAGGCGGTGCGTCATGATAACGCGGGACTTTTCGAAGCGTGTTTCCTTTGTAACACAGGAAGGCTGAAATTGAAGGGTGCTAAGCTCAAGAATGAATGTATACGGTGTATCGCGTGATAGAGAGAGATAGATTGATTGCGTGAAACGTGGAAGAGAGTGAGACAAGACAGACTGAACTTGCGACTGAACGATATAGCGAGACTGTGTAAAAAAAAGATTTAAGAAGAAACTAAAGAAAAAAAAAATAACTCGAGACGAAAACGAATCGACGGGGAAGAAGAAACATTGGAGAAACTATATTTTCGGGGATTTTTTCACGGATTCACGGATGAGAAGGAAGATGCGAGGAGAGATGGAATGCTGATAACGGGTGAGTTTTGATTACGAATGCGTGCTTCTCGTGAGCATTCTCAACCTTTTTTTTTTTTATGGTATTCCCGTAATTAATACTTTATACGTTTTTATTTGATAAAAAATGGATAATTCTGTTTGGTTATTTAAGCAAATTGTTGTTCGGGGAGAGATGTGTTTAAATGTAAATGTTTTTTATACGCCATGGTCACCTACAGGTGGAGGCTTAGTAAGTCATATCTTGGAAAAATTAATATGAATTACAGAGAATACAAAATTGGACATGATATAACACGGGGTGCAAGAAAATAACAAATTCGAGAAGGCTCATAAAAGATACAGATGTATAAACATCCATAGAAACATTATTAATACGTTAGGCGTCTGTATGACGCGGTTTGAGGCACACTTATTAAAAGAAAAATCGAACTAACATCACTAAATAACACGGTTTGTTTGGTATAAAATGATTCACTAACTCAGAATACATTCTTAAGACACTATACAACGAGAATTTTCCTTGTATAATACAAACAAATTATACATTCTCGAGAATCGCGTTATATCATGATAGTCGTACCAATATTTGAACTTCAGTCTTACGAGCCAATGACTTATCTTAAGTTTGCCAATTAATATTAATAGGATCGCTATTGCTTGTATACGTACATTTAACGTCATCGTATTAGTATTATATATAATATGATATAATGATATATGTAACTGTATAATCATTATACATAATATAATGTAATATAACGATATGTGTAATGTTACATATGTAATTACACGATCATTATATAATATACGATATCATTATATGACTATATGACCTTGACAAGCTGTTCAACGAATACCATCTCGAACTAAAAACAGAATTACGTATAATGTTTACATTTGAACACGTATCTTCCCGAATAATAACAATTTGCTGAAAATAAACGGTGGTGAACGCTAGTCGACAAGGCACGCATTCTCGAGTGTTGCGGTCTCGCGTGAGGAATAGCAGTCGTTAGTCGACGGAGTTGCGTACGTGTGACGAGCTAGTTTGGCAGAGGTGGACAAAAAGCTTATCGAGACGCGAGTGTTGAATAACGAATAAAAAATAAGGAGATTTTTACGCATCGTTTGTTCCATAAAATAATAATAATAATATTAAAAAAAAAAAAGAAAGATAAATTCCAAAGTGTAAAATTTAAATATAGTTCACGTTGAGCGAATAGAAATTTAGTCGTGTAACCGTTCGATCGAATAAACGTTGCGTGGAGATTGCTGTACAGCGTTCTTTATTCGTTATCTGTTATACGAATGAAATTTCGCCCATCTCTGGTAGTCGGGAATGCGAGAATTTTCGTATGGTATGTCTCTCTGCGAAGCTTGTTTGTTTTTTTTGGGCGGCTTATGTTCTCGCCCCAAGGACGTTAAATCGATAACATTATGATAAGGGGGATTGTATCCTCGACGAAGTGTTTAGGCGTATCACGAGGAGGTAGATTTCGTGGTTAGAGAGCGAGCACGAAGGAACGATAGAAATGAAAATGCAGATTGCCTGAGAGAGAACCGGGAAGAAGAGAAGAGAAAGAATCTTTGTCATCCAATAGTCAACGTAAAAGTCTGCGAACTTACAATTATTATTATATAAAGGAACGGAGGGTCCTTCGAACACATAATTGTATTTTTATATTGTTTTTTACCAACTGACGTCCGACGGACGATCTACTGATTTTTCCCTTTCGTTTTCTAAACGCTCGAATCAATTCGAAACCCAGCTGCACGATCATCATAACGATTTAATCGAGCTACAATCGGTAACGACGACATGTCGTGAATATGCGATCTGGAGATGGGCAGTATTCTCGTCTAGATACAAATTTCGAATAACGACGTTCAAATATAGACGTTCATCTGTAACTGGTTGAATGAAAATCAGAATCTGAGTATAGGCAAAATTCAACAACTCTTTTTCAAGATTTAAAAAACATATTTTAATGCAAGATAAAGGGTTGGCTTATAGGTCAAGTATTGAACTTTATATGTATCTTTTATTCGTCGTCTGTTATTCGAAAATAAAACATTGCCCATCTCCTTCAACAGACGATCCGTCTGAAATCATATCGAAATCTTTGAAACGATGAATGGTGTTAATAAATATATTTGTTCCTTTTCTCTCGGCGATCCCCTGATGAGATTCCACGTGATTCGTTGTTGGAACATCACCGACCACGAGGCATCCACGTTTCGCGTCGCGAATATCTGCAGGTACTGCAATTCACCAAAAGACTGAGCGATCTAAATGTTCGACTAGTAGGTAACGATTAAATAATTGAAAACTGAATAGTTGTCCGCGACGCTGTCGCGGGTGTTTTTTAACCGATCAACGCTTCGCCGGGGAAACTCCTTTTTTTTCCCAACGGCGTTTTTTCTCGTACATTCCTATTACGACGTAGGTTAATTTATGATACATACATATTATATAGTTACTGCGTCGATGCGGTTTCACGGGTGTCCTCCTAGCGGCGATCGGATTGGCCCTTTTAATGCTATGTTTATTAACGCACGCAGAAGAATATTCGGAACTGCTACTTGGAAACAATTTGAGGAAACTTTGCATAAATGTTCATTTGTCCAGGATAAAAATTATGCTATATTTTGTTGCCGCTCCTTTTTAATTTTGAAGGAACAATCACGCTTTGTAGCGTGAGTAGCGCGTAGTCAAGCATTTTATTTACATTTATGTATAAGTCTTTAACTATATTTACGTTAATATAATTAATACAATTCTTAAACTATAGAAGATATTGGTAAATGATTGAAATAAAATTTTATTCTCGATTTATAAGAAGAATCTTTAACAAATGAAGAGAGAATCAGACTTTTGTTTTGAATAATTTTTCCTTGATAATTTACAAGCCTCCATAAGAAGTACATTTTTTATTTAAAACAGCATAGTTGTAGTAATATACAGCATAATTCCTAGGTAGGACTAATTAATATGTGTGCAAGGTTTCGTTAGAGTTTATCTCAGATAGTTAACAGTGTTCCCTTTTCGATCAGTGAGTAGAGCATGAACGTTGAATATGAATTTCAAAGTGTAAACGAAGATCCTACTCTCTGGGAAGAATATGTTAGCCACTCAAGGTCACTAGGCGATTGTGCCCCCACCATTGCATCTGTCTCTTTTGTCTCTGTATGTTGTATTTAAGAGACAACAAGTGGTTATTTAACATAGTATAGGATACCTCGAAAATTTCATGTTTTTGGATCTAACTAAACACTCATGGACTCAGTATCCACAAATATAAGGCACTGAAAAGAAATGAAACTTGAGTTTAAAAATTTGAAGTAATATTTATCGAATAAAATAATATTTTATTACAGGACAACATATTCTATAATTTACTATCCAATGTAAGTAGACATTCTTTTAAAACTGTAAAACTAGATCCAAATATGATATTTACGTCTTTTTTAAATAAATTTTTCCTTCTTTTTCTACTAAACTTTGCAAAAGTTTGCAAATAAAGCCAATGTTACATACACCTACGCGCGTTAGCAATGTTTATATGTAAATTTGCGAGGGACCCTGTACAGACATATAAATTTATGAAGTGATTTGTTATCTACAGAAGTGACCTTGAGCGATTAATAATATCTGCAGCGATTACAGCACCGAAAGGGTTGATGAGTAGTCAGACGCCTGCCGTGGAACTCCATCGGCGATCGTGTCCCGCAGGTATTTCCATATTACTAGTACAATTTTGTGCCAATAACAGATCGAATGTTAACTAAAGCGAGAGACCAGTAATGATAATATACAGAGTATTCTCACAAGCATACACGTACTGTTCACGTATTTACACGTTCGTCCAGGAAAAAATATCTTTGTCTCGTAAGTTTAAGTGCGTGGAGTTTACTCACTTGGTTTGTACCCAGTGAGACGTTTCGTAAGGCATTGTAAATTGTGTGTCGCTTAACAGACGTGTGCGGGTACTCGAACATGTATAGTTAGGATTATGAAAGATTTTTCCATGAGTTCGTTCCAGAAATGGAATAAACAGATTCAGGAATAGAAGTAGAAATCAGCGATAGTGGGGGAATCTTATGTAGTAAAGAAGTTTTGGAATATCAACGCAATTCGAGACAAAACACCCAGGTACGTGGAAGTTATGGATGTATGAGACATTTCATATGGAAGGGAATACTCAGGATTGCTAGTTTTCATTGATTGCTTTTTGAGTCGAGTCAAGGCTCGAGTTACTGACATTTTTAGGTACTCTGGGAACTTGGTGTGCGACTTTCTATTAGTCATTTTCAAATCTGTATTGAGATACAGGTACCTTATGATTTTTATTTTCAAACCAATATTAAGGTCCAGGTACCTGACATTGTTAAGTGCTCCAGAAACTCTATATATCTGAATTATCTCGTATTCAAAAATAAGTACCTAGGTAAGGTACTAGGAACTAAACAACTAAAATACTAGGACTCAGGTACCTACATCTTCCAGATACCTGCACACTATTGAATAATTCACGTCCACTGACAAAATATCCTATATCAATGATACCTCGTTTCAATAAACTTACAATTCCGACAAAAAGATATTTCTTCCTCACGAGTGATATCATATCCACCGCCGTCACATTTCCAATGCGACGACACGTGCGTTACTCTGATCTCCGAGGTCGGTGGCGTTCAGCCGAGGTCGGAGGACATCGTCGCCTGGGTTTCGAAGCACCGAACAGTCTGACTCATATCCGACAAATGCCGAACTGCCAAATAATATATTTCAATCCCTCGATAGCTCTTCTTTGCTCCCTTTACCGTTTAAGCTCCCCCAACCTCCCCTAACTTGTACAAAACGTAAAACGAAAGAAAGGGTGTAACAATAACAAAATAATAATAATAATAAAAAAAAAAATGAATAAATAAAGCGCAAAGCGTGGCGCGTTGTATACCTGCGTCGTGTTAGAGAAGCGAGAAACCTGTACCTTCGAGACGATGTTTGGCATCGTCTAGCTTTTAGTTTAAAGAAACGCGTTCGTCTTTTAAGTTTTGTGTACCAGATGATTATAACCGGTGACAGGAGAAAGATTTATACGCGTAGCTGATATTCGGGATCGTTGTGTCGTTTCCACCGCGAGTTTGCCGCGTTCATTGGCGAATCGACGACCTAGAATTTTTTTTTAACAATTCTGAGAATCTTCCACGACTGCGTGGATTTTATTTATGTAGATTCACGAATTTAGTAAATTATTTATTTGGTAAATGGTAGAAACGTTCGAGTATTTCGTGAAAAATGGAATTATGTATACAGAGTGAGGATTCGAAGCTTTGTACCTAAAAATCAACGGAAACATTTTAGATGCAAAGCTTAGGTCACTCTGCATATTAATCAGTTCATAGTGTAGACTTTCTATGCCGCTTTAATCCTAATTTTAATTAGAATATTATACTCGTTATTTATTCCTATCCTGGAAATCGTTACGCCACTGAACGCGTCTATACGTTTTAGAATGTTAACTGTAATTTTTAAGAGTTTAAGCGCGCCGTCGGCGTCGTTGAAACGATACAACCATACTCGTGGCTTTTAGAATTACGTTACGTAACCATATGATACATTAATCAGCAATCGCTAAATATTAGATTCGCGATACCGTTTTCTTTGAAATAATCGAATTGTTTCGCGGTGAATTAGCGTGTATCTTGCGAACGTAGATCTATTCTTGCGCGCTTCTCTTTATGTTGTGATCCTTAACGCTTTTCCGTCCGCTGCCACCAACGTGATTCTTTGGAAAATTTAGAAATTGGTACAACATTGGTAACTTGATGTCACGATCCACTTCAGAGACTTCATATTTATTTGAATATACTATTTTATATCAAACAGGTGATTAAATCTAAAATTGACGATATCACGTGTGGCGAATGGGCGGATGTGAAAGTGTTAATATGTTTATTATTACGTCATCCCATGAGTTCGTGCTACAGAAATTCCTTTTGTTTAATTAACAAAGTAGAGAAATTTTATAGTGACGATAGAGTAACTTTGCCAGAAAAATGAGAAAAGATGAATGGAAAGAGAGGGTGATTACTAGACTGTGGAAATAGCAAACCAATCATTCAATTTAGACAAATTTTTTCAACAAACATAGGGTGCACGAATACTTATGTGACTGACTGAAATCTATAAAAATATGAATTTATTATATAAACATCCATAGTCTAGTTACTACATTTTTTCATAACTGTACTGTGAATATTTATGCATTTATGGCAAATGGAAATAATTAAAGAAATCTATGAAAATGTGCACAAATGCAAAAGGATATAAAATATTAACAATAATGTACATGCTAGACTATTTAGAAGATAAAACATTCATTTAAATTTCAATTTTCTTTTTGTATCTGTCAAGTTTCTGTATTTTCATAAACATTTGCAGTTTATTCATTTCACTTAAATGTTTGGCATAGTAATTTAAACAGGAGAACAATAAATGGCACGAGCTCGTGGGGTGACCTAACGATTTTTAGCAGTTTCGTGTGATAGCAAATTTCTATTCACGTGTCGTTCTATTAAATAATTATCTCCCATTTCAATTACCGCAGATAAGACTCGAACAATATTTTGAGATTTTTAACATATTAAGAGCACAATTATTCAAGACGATTACGTAAAATTTTCATTTTGAGATTCTTTATACGTTCTTTCGAAACGTATTACACGTCTTTCTCGTGCCTCGTCAATTTTATTTCTCTTTTCGTCTTTTATAATTTTTTTTTTTCGTTTGTGTGTGTGCGCGTGCATTTTTTCTTTTATTGGGAGCCAACAAATGAATAATTTCCAACGAGAAAGAACGGAAATACATAATGTTCGAACTGATCATGAACAAGTAACCATGTTTCGTTACTTTAGCTGCGTTCCTTTTTTACGTGAAAGCGAGTACCTACCATTATTTTTAATAACCATAATATTCAAGCTATCATTATTTTATTATTCGACCATCGTCGTAGCTACAATCTTTCTGTTTTTTCGTTTTCTTTCCCAATGTATTATACCCTGTATATAACGGTGTAAATGTTTATCGACGATTTACATACGATAGGACGAGCACTTGTAATTTTCGTAACGACGGATGGGTGGATTGGTGGATGGTGTTGTTTTTAGTTATATGTATCGTATGTTTGTAACAGGCACGTTGCGCTCCTAATTTTTTTTTATACGTAATCGCTTCGTCATCATTTTATACGTGCAGGTGTTGTGCTGAGCAGAATGGCTCTATATAAAAGTGAATCGAATATAGTTACTATAGTTGGGTCGAAGGAAAAATTAACTTGATGACTTACGAATTAGAATTTTTTGCTCAATTTGACGAAATATGTAAGATTTGTGATACACCTTATATTTTTTTAAAATTAATTTCAGCCTCAATTAATGTATACTAATGTATTATGAAATCCTTTTCTGAAGTTTAGACTGTTTCTAACCAGGCAGGTAGTTAAACTGTTAATTTTATACTATAAACTTACTTTATATACTTACCATATAAACTTATAAATATACTTTAAACTATATAATTTTTACTAAAATGAGAAATCGAAGGCCTTCCATGTCGACTTCTTCTTCAACCCAACGATGGATGGTCGATTGTAGATAATAAACGAAAGTGCATTTTCGTGCAAGAAAGCCTAAATTGAAAAATCACTTTCATCAACTTTGGTCATTTTCGTAGTGTCCATGCTTTGTACAATTTTTATACTGTCTACAATTTCTACACGCCTATAACTCTTTTTCCTCTTAGATTTTATAGTCGATGTTCTTCCACTTTATACTATTGTATTTTGAAACTGGCAACAAATTAATTTATATAAGTATAAATTTTAGAAATGTTATGGCGGCCACTTACTGTAGCTGATTTTTTCATTAATCAGATTGTGATTAATGAAATGAACTGATTTTGCCTAACTGTCGTATAAAATTCGTCTTTAACTACGTTTTGTAATTAAGATCAATATTCTTTTGATAAATTCAACTCTACTCGTTAAAATAAAACTCAAGGCACTAAGATAAATTTCATTACACAACGATATAAACTTTGCTGATTTGCAGCAGTTTTCATCAGCAAAAGCTACAATCGACCAATTTTTAAAATTGACAAAATAATTAACCGATTCTCTGCTAAGATCTTGCCCATATTGGACATTAGAGAACACCAAATCGATGGCCTTATCAGATTTCTCGTAATCGATAGCAACATATTCGATCAGCGACACTTTCACGATACATTCTGTACTTTATCCCTACCTTAGTTGACAAAATTTAATTTTCGAAAGTAAAATAACAATAATGTCATCAACTTTAGCAAAGAAACGCGGCGATTCATTTAGTCGACCATTAATTATCTACTGTCATTTTACGAAGCGTGCCTGACGGTGTGGGTGAATCTTAATACTGTTAATAGATATACGTACCTAATGTTATTAATTATTAACATTTGATTTGTAATTGTCAGGGCCACGGAATGCCTGAAGCTCGACCTATGCGAGTGGTGTCTGAGGAGACCCTTTCTCAACATTGAGCGATATCTTTTTTACAACCTCTTAAACAACAGAACATTTTCTAAATGACCGTTGGGTTGGGTTTGAATTCTCGTCAGGGCTCTCGTGGGATTCGAGCATCACGCATTGCGTGTCCAAACGGACCCTACTAATAAACGCCATAGTGGTCTGAGAAGTAATTGGCTCGAATAAATTAAATTTACTTTAACAATCATTTCTGCGTTGTTGTTTTCAATTTCTTTCCCCACGAACACTGTTAACAACCCAATACCTCTGGCTGCTTGGTCATTCTTTGAGTGAAAGAGTAGCAAAAAAATCCGTATATAGTCTCTTTTTTTGTTCTTGCCCTAACTGAAACTACGAAGTTACTCCAAAACGGACGCGATGGTATCAGACGCAACACTAATAGCAACCACGATTCATAGTTATTCGCAACACTACCCTGAAAGGAAACGCGAAAAATACTACTTGAAAATATGTAAATTATTTCAAATCGGACGCGATTTATCAGTCGCAACATTAAAACCAAACGCGATCAATGTTTATGCGCAACACTACTCTGAAAGAAAACGCGAAAAGTACTACTCAAAAGCAATCGTAAGGTGCATCATTATTCGAAACAATAATCTATTAAGTATAAAAGGCACAAATCGCGTGCATCAAGTAATACGAATCCCTGATTAAAAATTCACAGCAACCATCTCAGGCTGCACAGAATCGTAGTGGCAGCCATATTGGCTGCTTTGGGCTCTTCATGTGACGAAATACTAATTCGAAACGCGTGAATTTACAATAAATCGGTCACGATTCATTTATGCGCAACACTAATGGCACTCGCGGCTGGTCTTTGTACGCGACTCTACTCTGGAAGAAAACGCGAAAAATACTAATCAAAAGCTAAATTGACTCTAAACACTACTTTTAAACGGACGCGATATTCATTATACGCTACACTAATTGCGATCGCGGTTGATCTTTATTACGCAACACTATCCTGAAATAAAACGCGAAAAATCAATCAAAACAATCCTAATAAACGAACGCGATATTTTCATTTCGTAATACTAAAGCAATACGCGATTTGCCCAATTGACACTGGATGATGAATTCCCACGTTGGGGTACATGACCCAAACAAACAAACTACTACAACTACAGGCGAATACAGTGACAAAATAGTAATAGTAATGACTCCCCATCTTCGAATCCGAAGATGGAGAGCCATTCGTTGCAGCCCTTTCTTGTGACAATTTGTCAGGGCCTCTCTTCTTTCTTCGGACGCATTGTCCCATCTGAAACTTATAGCTA